ACTATGGATTCGCATTGAAGCAAGGTCACACAAGACGAAAGGTCAATGAAAAAGGCATTTCTTCCTTGATTGTCTATTAGTCTATTAGGAAGTCGATCTTCTTTCGCTTGAAAGTGGAGTTCTTTGATCCTATACCAGGATATGCAAAAGACTCTAGTAGAGAAAGGGTAAAGGGTTTCGGCATAATAGAGTTGACTAGAGAGAGAGATGACTTTCTGAATGTGGACCACCAGGTAGAAGGATGAAGTCTTTCTTTCTTCGTATTCCGTTCCGTTGTTGGAAAGACTCTCTTTTGAAAGAAAAAAGGTGTTGTTGGATCTGATCTGGGGAATGAAACTTTGGGACCGCCTGAAAACAGAGATTCCATCCTGACTCATAGATTGGTCTGAGACGGAGAAGGCACGTAGTGAAGAGGAAAATAGAAGAAAGTAGCCGATACACTGAGTTGTCACCACTTATTACTCACTATGATGCAGTCTAAGGTCATTGGTTTTGAGGTGTCGAACGAGCTATATGCAATTGATGAGGATTTTTTAGGTGATTTGGCACTGATGTCAGAATAGACCGTATGAGCAGTACCATCGATCCGATGGATATCTATTCTTTCAGAACATGTTATGCATTCCTCGAGATTCACTTAAGTAGGATACTTTACTGGAGTGTTATAGTGGAGGGATTCTAGGACATTTTGGCAGGGACAAGGTTCAGTAAAAGAGAATTTTGACTGGCCCAATTGGTACGAGATGTGGAAAGATACATCAGACATTGCATGATATGCCATTTGTCTAAGATTCAAGGATCAAATACCTGGCTATGCACTCTCCTTCTCGTTCCAGGGGCACTCTGGTTGGACGTGAGCATGGATTTTGTGGTGGGCTTATCCAATACACAGTGAGGTAAATATTCTGTTATGGTTGTGGTAGACCGTTTTTTTCAAGATGATGCATTTTGTTTCTTACTATGAGATGATGAATCCGTCACATATTGCTAACTTCTATTTCAAGGAGGTAGTTTGCTTTCATGATATACCTCGGAGCATTACGTCAGATAGAGACATGAAATTTCTCAACCTTTTTTTGAGGACTCAATGTGGTTAAGTTAGGTACAAAATTTGAGTTGAGTTCAGCAGCTCACCCTCAGATAGATGAGCAATAAAAGGTTGTAAACCGTAGTTTGGGAAATTTTTTGAGATGAAAGAGTTGCTGCGTCGCCTTATCTTACAACTCAGGCGATGATTTCATTTCTTCTACCGCGCAACAAGACTACAAATGCAACATTGAAAACTCGCCTTTGTTTGCTCTCTGCATCGTCAGAGCGTCCCTCCCCGGGACGTTGGCTGCTGTGTACGAAGCTCGCACTTGTTCTATCCACCCGAAGACTCTTCTTGTTCAATCCATAAACTGGTCCCACTAGCGGGGTCTTTTACCGGTCCCACTAGCTGGGTCTTTTACCACTCGACCGATCGACTCAAACCAATTCTTCTTGGACTTGGAAATCGATGAGTTTTTTCTTATCCCGCAGTCTCCTTCATCGCAACGATTCTTCCCCGTTCAAGAATCACTGTTTTCGTGATCGAATGACGAAAGAGATATACGAACTGTATAGGAGCATTCGCTGGAATGGGATAAGTTATTCTTTGATAGGATCCCAATGGGATCGTAGAATCCACTAAGGATGCAATAGGTATTTGTGATCGATCAGCTTCCAGTATGACCGAAGACTTTCTATCTGCATCCAGAAGAACTACACAATCAGGTTGTTGGTTCGACCCGTCATTGATCTTCTTCTTTCTCGAACGGATTTGTTTCGGACTTGAACAAGAATGAGTCAAAAAAGCCCCGATCCTCCATTGAGAATCATTGATACAGCTCGCCATCTCTTCCATGATCTCAGATAGAAAGATATTCTTGTTCTTGAAAAAGAAGGAACGGCCTTTTTGACGAATGGGAGATCCTATAAAATGAAAAGCGTTTCGTAAAAAAAGAAGTGTCTTGTCTGAATCGAGAATAGCAATTCCATTTCTGGAACCACATAGATAAACTTTGAAATGGTGAGCAGCTACCCGACGGCCGAGATGTGCGTTCGTACTCAGTAATTTTTGACAAACTATAGAGATTGTCATTTTTGCTTTTACTTTCTCGAGAGACAGGTAATCAGTCAGATCATATAAGAGGTTTGCTGCACTTTCAGTGGACGAGATCTATTTTGATTATGTATGAAAAATCGACTTTTGAAAAGAAAGATATTATTTTGAATTGGAAATACACGAGAGGTCAGAAAAAAATCCTTGCTTGATGCGAGCCACTCCGAAGGCTTCAAAAGAAATTCTATCTATCAGTTACCACTCAGTTAGCGTTCACAACGGAATCTATGATCTACTCAGAAGCAAGAAAATGACCGCAGCAGCAGGCTTTTGCCTATTCTTCTTGACTAGCAGGTTGAGCAGCAGGAGAATCGGTCTAATCTAAGGTCAACCACAGTCGGAGTCATAAGGAAAGTACCAGTTGGACAGGGAGCACCCACCGGTCAATTTCTTGATCTTTCACAGCAGGCAATGTAAGACGGTAGTTCAAAAAGAGCTTCAGAAGGCTGGCCAGCACAAGAGAAAGCAGAAGGATAGCTAGAGAAGTGGGGATTGATTCAAAAAGTGGTATCAAGAAAAAAAGGCGAGAGTTTGATTCTGAAAGAAGAAAAGGGAACAAGCCGAGTATAGGGCTTTGCAAGGACCAGTTCGGAGTACTCAGTGGTGAGGAAAGCAGTAGCTTGCTTTCGAACGGAAACGCAAGTGGAAGATCGACTGGAAGATAGAGGACAGAGGAAGCTTACTCAACCATCGGTGGAAGGGACCGGATCCTGATGAAACAACCCTACGTCCTTGCGCCCCCTATATTTGGAAGCAAGTGACTTTTCCTCCCAGCGAGACCAATCGCAAATGACTCATTTTTTGCTCTTCTTCTTAAGAAACTCTAGCCTTTCTTTTTGAAAGAGCTCTGGTTTGATCTCGTGGGTCCAATTCTGAACCTGCCGCTATGGCATATTGCCAGCCGATACAACTTGAAAGCGAGACCCTTCACTCTCGAAACATCGCATGCATTGACAAACTCTTCGACAGACGGACCTAGCTGATTGATGTCAGAAGCAATCTTCCTCGTATAGCAGCAGCCTGAAAGAGTTCACGCTCAGCGTGAAGGAAAGCACTTCTACTCTCTCTTAGCTCTTCAGACAGTGGCACATCACCAGCCGTGCCTGAGTTCTCCTATCGTTCAATGCTTTCTTTTCAGCGCTGATGGAAGCATTCCAAGGTGAAGTTTACGATCTTTTTAGCCTTTTTCCGGATCTTCATCTTGCCCTATGAGCTCGTGCAGTGAGTGCCGATGGTCAGGATCCTGTAGTTCTGAGCGGGGGCTTGACCCTTTGAGGAGGGCATATTCTTCTGCATTTCTCTTGTCGGATCGCACATGATGGGCCGTGTCCACGTCGTCGAAGAGATGGTCTTTGGACCCCGATTTCCCGTCGTAGGGAGCACTCTTCTGAGCCCCAAGATTCGCCGAAGGATGAGATCTTGCCTATGCAGTAGGATGAAAAGGAAAGCGATCCGAACAGTGAGACCCCACCACCGTTGAAGACTACTACTTTTTTTTCGAGAAAAAAAAAGAGGAGAGGGAATGGGAAGCTAGCAACCTCGTTTGAAGCAGATTTGAAAGCAGGGTCTCGATCCGGGCCCAAAGCGGGACAGAAGGGCTTACAGCGCTCTGAGAAAGAAAGATGGATGCCCTAACCCTGTATTCAATCTTTTTTATGTATAGCTGTAGCATTGAACAATCAGCTTTTCCCGCCCACCAACCCTTGATGAGCTGGCCGAGCAGACAAAGAGAGTGTGACCTGAGCGTACCAAGAAAATGAGGCTGGACCGAGGGGTGGGATCGAGCACAACATCCTTGAAGATTACCACTTGCCTCAGACGGAGCGATGATAGACCATTGTACACTTGAACTGACCGATGATAAAGCATCAGCACTGGGAAGAGGTCCCGTCTACCCACGCCAGGCGCGTCAAGCTATTCAAGTCAGCGAGTTGCCAATTCGCTTGGACCGATCTGCTAGCCCCCTCTCCGCTTCCAAAAGGAGTCACCTTTGCTCGAGACTGGCTTTCTCAGCTCCCGATCCTCCAGGAGAGACAACCATCATTAGAACAACAATATAGGCCAGCTGCCCTGCCTGGCGAGTTGAGATCGGCCTCGTGGGTTCGGACAAGGTGAGGAAAGTCCGAATTCAAGACTACCGACGGTCTAGCCTCCACCTGCGTGATGAGGTTTGATGAGACCAGATAGTGGCAACCGCTTTCGCTAATAACCGGGTTGACAAATATCGTAGAATAAGGTGGAGGTCAAGTAAAGGGTTTCAGCTAGTGTTGACGAAGTAGTCTATCTAGGACTTATGAAAACTGACAACAACTAGGCAACCACAAGAATTCTCGTAGTTCATTGAGTTAAGGGAGGACCCTTCCCTTCGTGGGGGTCGTGGAAGAATCGGGTTCGATTCCCTTTATACGCGATGTGGCGAAAAAGACTGATTCAACGAGATATGCCATGCCTGCATTCCAATTTCAAACGTGTCGTCTACTTCCAGGAAATGTTCGGAACAGAGAACTTTCTCTAATACAACGCCGCATTCTCCGAAGATTGAGGAACAAGAGGAGATCCATGAAAAGAAATCTTTCTCTGAGAGAAAATCTCAACAGTAACATCAAATCACAAACTACACGAAAGTTGCCCCTTTCTTATGGGGATTTACCCATAAGGGAGATGCACAGAGGTGCGGAGCAACGAACTTCATATATCCCTTTTCTACTCAATCAAGAAACAAGATCGGACGTTATTCCGGTTCGTCTCCATTTTAGTGACACTCTTCCTCAAGCAAGGCAGCCGATAAGTCATCGAAGGGTTTGTGTGAATAATGGACTGGTAAGCATTACTCATTTGAAAGTTTCCCACGGTGATAGAATATCTTTTCAAGAAAATGACGCGAGAACCCGTGGTGAAGAAATCAGTAGATCTTTCTATATCGACATATCAGTTTCAAAAAGAATAGGAAAATTCCTGCCGGTCAGAATGTGGAGAAGAACCAAAACAGAATGGTTCCGCCTACTCAAAACTCAGAGGGGGTGCCACCTACTACTAAAATCTCGGTTTTTGCAAGAGTTGCGTTCTTCTATGCAAGAAGAAGACTTAGAAAGAACAAAGAAGTTTGGATCCGCAAAAGTCTGCTTAGGCAGTTCCTTCGCTGAGCACAACAGAATGAAGAGAAATTTGTTTCATTTCCAATCTTTCTTCTTATCGAAGAGAAGAAACGAGAAAAACCGAAATCTTCCTACTCGAACAATCAGTCCTTTTGTTTACAAGTCTTCTTTATATAGTAATTCGACCTATTGCTCCGGATCCCCTTTGACTAGGAAGATTAGAATAAAAAGGATAGAACTCCCTACTCATTATTCGGAGGTGAATCATAAAACACTAAAAGCTGTGGTATCTTATGGACCTCACATAGGTCACATCCCTCACGACATCAGATTGAAAGATCCAAACCTTCCTCTTCGGAGCGGAAACGGACGTGACCAAAACATATAAGAAAAGATCGGCGTAGTCGCTCATAGGGACATATCTATCCGGATAGAGGATAGTCTCGATCGATTCATAGATCTATATCTCTCTCTATAGATAGGTATCTCCGTGGATAGAGATCCCCATGGATAAAAAAAAGGCACATAGTGGTTTTTTACTACTACTAATCTTTCTTAGACTTCAAGCAAGGCAATAGTTTCAATTTTGACTGAATTGGTCGGAGCGTAGACGAGCGAGCAGAGCCCAGGAAAGAGGTCATCATAGAGCAGTCGACTAGAAGTCTAAGACTGCTTGCCTGAGAGAAGGCAGTCTCTCTCGGGAAACATGGCCCAATTTATCTTCTTTCTTTTTCTTTTCAGCAACATAGGGGTAGGGGAAGAAAAAAGACCATGAACATGAGTAAAAAAAGGAAAAAAACGGATGATTCTCTTCTTCTTTTTACAAAGGAGGACAAGAGCTCGAAGATCAAAGATTTCTTTAGCTTTAGGAAGTTCTTATGTGTTTTTTATGTTGGGAAGAGTTTTCGACTTCTCAATAAAGTCAAGTTCTTGACAAGTCCCAAGGAGAGGCGATAGCTCGACTGAAAGGAGAGGAAAGAAAAGAAGAGGGAAGCTTGGATAAGGTTCGAGTTTCGCTGACGCCCTTCACTTCTTTAGTACTGGTAGGATTGGTCTACCAGCTCCACTCATACAAGTCAATCGAGTTCCAGTCGAGATAGAAAGTACTGGCTCACCGGCGATCATACCATTGAATAGGTTTCCCATGACCCGTACAGAAATCGGTGCAGGGATCATGGTTCCAAGTTCGTTCTCGTTGTGGAAGCGAGTGTCTTGCTTGATCTTTCCAGTCACGCTAATGTAGAATTAGGCTTGAGCACAAGGAACTTCACTGCACAATTGAAAGAGAAAGATGAGAGAAAGATCGATTTGAGAACAGACGATCTGCGGCATAGACTCTTTCCATGACATGAGAGAGAATCCGCTTTGTCCATGAGTGGTATTTTTCCTTCGACGTAGGAAGCATCGAATTGCATGTTTTCAGCATGATTAGGCTGAGGGAAGAAAGCTCTGAGAAACATACGTGTAAATAACAGAAGTTTGTTTCACAGAAAAAAAAGAATTCAGACATTTTTTTGTTTGACATACGTGTCAATAAGAAAGAAATGAAACTTGATGGATTTCTTTCATGTTGAAAAGGTTGGGTTCTCTCTGGGCGGTCGAGCCCTATCCTTTGCTCTCAGAGGGTTGGGCTGCTGCTGCTCAGCAGGGCTTGCCTTGACAGTAGTGACAGTAGGCTTTGCTTGACGAGCGCTGCTCACAGGCGAGGACTTCACCCATATGATGATCCCTTTCGGCGAGGGGACATCAGGCGCATCAAGCTCAGAGTCTCCGGCGACTCCGGCTTCTCCGTCGGACTCCCTTATCGGCCATGCATCCTCCGAAACGGATTCGGACAAAGAACGATTCTTTACTCCACCACAATCCGTCTCGTCCGCGTCGTCTTCTTCCACCTCGACTCCCGGTCTTGAGAGTGCTTCCAACAACGGAGAGAACGAAGAGCGCTACTCTTTGACTTCTATCAAACCGGGAAGTGCAGCCCACGAGGCAATGAAAGAAAGTTGTCTGATTCCAATTGTAAGAGAGAAGTTCAAAGAATGGGAGTCCATTGGAAAAATGGATGGTCACCACATTGATAAAACAAATGAGGAACTGGCCCAAGCTTGAAAGCTCGAATTAGTCCAGACAAAGGAGGAAATGGAACGCCTATCAAAAGAATTGCTGGAGCTGAACTGGACCAAGTTCGAAACAGCCCCAGCGGGGGCATCCTATGCTGGCTTATCAGACCTACTAAAGGACTAAAGGAGCACCCAAGACGGGATT